GTGGGGGAGGGGGAGGTTTGTGGTGGTGGTGGTCCTGAAATGGGGGTGGGTGGGTTGGGCTGCTTTCTCAGCTCATGTGGAGGTACAGTGAGGTAGGGAGGGGAGTCATACTGCAGGGAGGAGTTCAACCTCTCCCTGACAGGGACTGTAGGTTACATCACGGTCCCCCAAAGACATGCTTACCTGAAACCTCAGAGTATGACTTTATTTATACTAAGTGTCTGCCTGCAACCCTTTTTTGGGGGGGAGGGGGACTCTGAGCTTCCAGAACAGTCAGAGAAGAAATCTGTTGTCTTTTGAAGTCCCGGCTTTGTGGTCATTTATCATGGCAGCCCCGGGAGACTAACATAAAGAGCGTGATTTAAATGAACGTCGTCACTATGATAACTTGGTATTGGGAACACACACACAGACGGGAAAGAAAGGAAAGGGTCAGGAACACGGTGGGCTGCTGGCTATCCGTGGGAGACCGCCGTTGCTCAGGAGGATGGGGGTCTCCACTCTGGGGCTGGGGGCTGAGGTCTGGATGTCTGCAGAGAGGGGTTAGGCTAGAAATGGTCACCAAAGGCTGCTCTGGGGTCAAAATAGGGCAGCAGGTGGGGCTCCAGAGAAGGAGAACTCTCTAGGATCCATGTTATGAACAGCCTGGGTTGTCAGGAAAGGCAGTGTTCATCGATGCCTCTGTCCAAGCAGGGCCTGGGTGGCTGCCGCTGGGACCTGGCAGAAGGAACAGAGACGGTCTCTAGTGCTCCTGAACATGCCATCTGCCTTCGTGGGGTGGAGCAAGCTGTCGGTCAAGTCCAGCAGCCCCGCTCCTCTCGCGGCCATCAGGAGAGAGGGATGTGGGAGAGGTTGTGTGTGTGTGTGTGTGTGTGTGTGTGTGTGTGTGACACCGCGCGCGCGCGCGCAGGGAGAAGGACGTCAGCCTACTAACCATAGGGATATTTGAGCACCTCGTTATCTTCTGGCGTCCCTGTGAGACCCTGCAGGATCGGGGGGATGGACAAAACAGCCAGCTCAGCGTTCCTGCTGGGGCACAGCTGGGAGGTGGCATCGGAGCCAGGTAGCAGGACCAGCTGCCGGATCAGACCCTGGAGAGAGATAAGGACAGCTGACTCAGACCCAGGGCGCCCGAGAGGAGCCTGGGGTCACTGAAGTGAGGCCCATGTGAACCCGGGAGAAAGAGGTGGGGTAGGGATGGGGAGCCTAGCCATCTTTAGCCGTAGGAGGGAGGCTTAGTCACCCTCCCTCCACCTACCTATCCATCATCCACATATCTACTCACCCACCCACGCATCCATTCATCTAGGCATGCCATCGGGGACTATTCAGAAAGTGTCTGCTATGCCCGGGCACAGGTCTAGACACCACGATGGGAAAGGGAACAAGAGCTCTCCTCAGGAGGCTTGCAGGCTAGACTCCAGCACAGAGACTACCTAGCTTGTCAAGGGGTGGTCAGTGCTTCGGGGAAGCAACCAGACAAGGGAGGGAGGCTGAGAGGGCTGGGGTGGGAGGTGTCCTCTGATCAGAGCCGCGGGGAAAGACCGCTAGGATAAAGGATGGACTTATGGCAATTGTAGAGACTCAGGTTCCAGGTGGTGGAAACCGAGCTCGCAAAGGTCCCGTGGTGGGCACCTGCTTGGCACGTTTCTGGAATGGCCTGGGGCCCCACTCCCCCCACCCTCCACCACTGCGTTTGGCACATGCAACGACCAGTCACACTAAAACCCTGAGACAGCAGGACGGGGGTGGACATGTCCTCGGGTATGGCAGGCAGCCTCCTCCCCACTCACCGTGAATAGGCCTTTCTTCCTTCTCCGGCTGCCGACGAAGAACCGGGCGCCCTGCATGGAGAGTGTGGCCGGGAAGGGCATGTCAGCGGTTCTGAAAACAGAGGCGGGTGGTTTCAGGGCCATCGTGGGGCCGGGCTGCTCCCTGTCTGCTGAAAGGAGAGGGAGGGAACGGATGCCCAGCCGAGGACCACTTGGTAAGCCTGGAGCCGTCGGCACAGGCTGCTCCAGCTGCCCGCTCTGCACCGAGGGCCAGCGTGCCCCCTGGGGAAGGGTGACTGGGAGAGTGTCCCCTGCAGCAGCTCAAGTTGGGGCTTGATATGCGAGTGGACACTGCCCTCTGGAGCTCGGTGGGGTGGGGGGGCTGCACCCTGCTGGGGGAATGGGTGGTCCGAGTCTGGGGGGACGTGCGGGTTGGGCCACAGGGCTCTCTCCTTGCTGCCTGTTGCCCCGAGGCCTCCACACTGCCATCCCCTGGTCGCAGCGGCCAGCCCTCCCCATCCTTGGCCAAGTGGCAGCACCTGGCCATGGTATGGTCAGCTCCTGGCCTGCTGGTACAGGATGCCCATCTTCTGCTCACAGCAGTGGCTCTTGGTGCCCAGACCACTTGGACACCCAAGTCCTGGGGCCCACTCCCCCAGGGCTCTGTGAGGCCCGTGGTGGTGGTGGGGCCGTTGGCAGAGTGGCCTTGCCCCTGCGGACTCAGGCGCCAGCTATGTCCTATGGGAGGCTGGGAGTCAGAATCAAGCCCAGAGCAGCGGAGTCTGTGCCTGTTGTTTAAAGCTCGGAGAACCCTTTTAAAAACCTACGTCCTGAGTGCTCAGTGACCCCGTTCCCTGACCCACCAGCCTGGGGCCCACATTTCAGCCCAAACTCAGGGCCCAGCCGAAGTCAGCTATCCCCTCCAGCTGGTGGCCGGGCCTCTGGAAAGTCTCCTCCAGCCCTTGTGCAGTGCGCTCCGCAGCCCCGTCCTTGGTCTTCCAGAGGGCAGAGATGGCATTCAACCTCGCCGGTGGGTGATCTCTCGGTCTATGGCATAGCCCTGCCCCAGCTACGGGGTTCCGTACACCTGACTTGCTTGAGGCGTAAAAGCTACCTTAGTGGGGTGTAAGTGGTCTGCACTGGGCTATTCACTGAGAGGTGGTCCTTTGGCATCTACCTCGAGGTGCCTCTGAGGCTACTTAGGGACCCTCAGTCACGGCACCGCGTGAAGAGAACAGCTCTCATCCGTACCACTTGGGCCACTGTGAGTAGGAATTAACTTGATGGCAATGTGTTTTGTTTGGGGAGGGGGGCAGTTTGGGGTGGGGGCTGACAGGGAACGAACAGAGGAAGTTCAATGAGGGCTTTGCTCAATGCCAGATAGGCCCAGGGCAGCGTCTGGGTCAGGCTGGCATGGACAAAGAGCCAAGATGCAAGGGGCCCGCCTGCCACTGCGGGGCAGTATCACACAACCCACACTACCCTCCGGCATCCCGAGTGCCTACATGTCTATGGGGAGCCCACAGTCCACGGTGAGGGAGAAGGTTCCTTGGGACACTGCCAAGACCAGCGTGTGCCACCGGCTGTCCGTCAGTGCCGTGTTCCGGAAGGACACATGGGTCTGCCAGGCCCCAGAGGCGTCCTCGCTGAGGAACAGGAAGTGGAGCTTGCTGGCTGAGTAGCTCAGCCCCAACAGCAGCGTGCCTCGCTCTTCCGCCACCACCGTGAGCAGAAACTCGTTCTTCTGCAAGAAAGAACCGGGGAGGGAGAGGCGTGAGGAGGACAGGGCCACAGGGCCTGACCAACAAGGAACCGTGGCACAAAGGCACCCCCATACCCCACCATGGCCCCGGCCCCACAGCAGCACACCCCATTGGTCTGCAAAGCAGCCTTGTTATGCACTGAACTGTCCCCCGGCCCCTGGACTATGGAAGTCCTAGCCCCGGTACCTGCAGAGGTGACCCGGTGTGGAAATAGGGCTTTCCGTGGTTTTGTGTTAGTGAGAAGGTACCACAGCAAGGTGGGTTCTCCACCTAATCCCTCACGAAGGAGAAAGGACTCTGAGAAACACATGCAGGGGGAAGACCGACACCCGGGTGGGCGGGGTGCAGGGAGGTTCTGCTGGGGCAGGAACCCTCAGGGAGGAACCGACCCCCGTGGGTCGAATCTTAGCCTCCAGGATAATCATCTCCTGTGTTTTAGCCACCTGTGCGGTGTGAATTCACCTCAGGAGACTGAGGGGAGAGGACTTCCTCTTTGGATCACTGCTGTCAAGTTCCCTGGGGACTCATCAGGCTGTAGGGACCCTGGGGGACACAGTTGGACTTTCCCTGTGAGTGTCTGAGACTGCTGCTCATCGCAGGAGCAACTGGGGTTCCAACTGCTGACTGGATAGCAGCTAAGGAAGAACCCACCAGGGCTCTATCTGGATTATTTATGTATAAGCACTTTAGCCTAATTATACGTATGGGCCACTTATATTCTACTAATCCCTTCTCTAACCCCGTCCACAAGGGTAGGAATTTAAAATGATTGGACTTAAAGTATCAAGCAGGTATGTGACATAGTTAGGAAGCACAAATCTCAGCTCATATCCCACTGCCCCTCCCCCCTATGAGCCAGGTTCAAGACAACTGTTTCTCTAAACAAGCTGAAATCCCCACCCCCTCCCTTGCATAATAAGACTTGACTGCCATCGAGCCAATTCTGACTCATTTAGACCCTATAGGACAGAGCAGAACCTCCCCTGTGGATTTCTGAGACTAATCCTTTATGAGAGTAGAAAGCCTCATCTTTCTCTTTCAGAGCAGCTGGTGGTTTCGAACCGCAAAACTTGCAGCTAGCAGCACAATACCTAACCACGGCATCACCAGGGCTCCTAAAACCCTCCCAGGACCTTCATCTCGCATTGAACACTCGAGTCAACAGTGGCTCACTTGGGCACCCATGCCCCTGGCTGTCCTGGGAGCTGAGGGGAGGCACGAGGTAGCCCCCTGGATCTCACCTTGAGGGAGAAGACGAACCCCCAAAGGGCACTAGGTGGGAATGCCAGAAAGCAGGTGAGGGACTTGAAGCGGCCAACAGCTGTGGAGCTGAGACCCTTACAGTGAGGGCCTGGAGCCTGGGTGTCCCCACAGGGCGGGCGAGGGCGCTGGGGAGGACTCCGACCACTCAGGAGGATCATGGGATGGGGTTCTCCACAACCCGCCATGTTCGCATTCGTGGTGATCCTTCCGGGCCAGCTGAGTCCTGGGCACCCTCTCAGAGGAGTTAGGACCTGCCTGTGCCTCTGAGGTAAATCACGCACTCTGAGAACACCCACAGCAGGGCCACCAACGTCTGGTGGAAACCGCGTGTTCCTACCCCATGAATCCGATGACAGGAAGCTGAATTGGGTGATCCAGGGGTGTTTATTCAGGTGCCGATGGCAAGCTTGAAGTTAAGGTCATGTGTCATGGAGCCCAGAACTTGGAGGAGAGAAAGGGGACCCCAGTAGGCAGGTGGAGACTTGAGAGGAGCAAGCCTGGGGTTCACAGGAGGGCAAAGGGCAACAGTCACTTTGGGACTGTGGAGACAGGGGTGCTCCATCCTCAGGTGTGGGGAGCCACCTAACAAGGTCATGACCTGAGTAAGAGTGGATGTGAGGAGCCAATCATCACAGGCCTGGAGCCCAGCTGCCTGTGGCTTGCCTGGTCAGCAGCAGGGGTTGTGGCAGGATGAGGTGCCACAGCAGGCTGGGCGGGGACATGCAGGGCAGTAGAGCAGGGACATGGAGGAGGAGGCAGGGGCACAGCAGGCAGGCTTGCACACGGGTTGGCAGATGAGGGACATGCAGGAGGAGGGTTTGCAGCAGGAGGGGGCACAGGGAGAGGGCTGGCAGCATGAGGAGGAGGAGGAGCAGGGGCTGGCCCCACAGCAGGCGGGCTTGCAACAGAGAGGTGTGCAGCAGACAGGCTTGCAGCAGACAGGTGTACAGCAGACAAGTGTGCAGCAGATGGGCACACAGCTGGGGGAGGATGTGCAGCATGCAGGCTGGCAGCAGGAAGGCCCACAGGAGCTGGTGCAGCCTGATAGGCAGGGGCTGGACCCAAAGTTCACGGGGCTGCAGAGGAGGGTCAGGCAGGAGGCTGGAGCACAGCAGGTGGACTGACAGGTGGGGGCACAGCAGGAGGACTGGCAGCAGGTGGGGGCACAGCAGGAGGACTGGCAGCAGGAGGGGGCACAGCAGGAGGACTGGCAGCAGGTGGGGGCACAGCAGGAGGACTGGCTGCAGGAGGAGGTGCAGCAGGGGGGCTCGCAGTAGCTCTCCAGGCAGTCGTCCACCTCCCAGGAGGGGCCAGTATGAGCACTGGGCATGCAGACCCGGCTGCCATAGCTCCTGTCCCTGGAGCAGATGGACCTGGTGGACGCAGCTGGAACACAGGTCCCGGAGAAGCAGCTGTCAGCCATGGTAGTGTGGACTGGAGGAGGTGGTGGGACGAGGGAGGGAGGGAGGCCGTGAGTGAGGTGCTCGCTCCAGGAGGTCTGGGCTTTTATATCCCTCTGTGGCCTGTGTTGTTGCAACAAGAGGCTCATAAGCCACCCCTTCCTTGTTAGAACCCCTGCTGGAAGCCCTCATCAGTGCTGTTTTATTTGTACAAAAGGGTTACTCAGCCTTGAAGACTGCAGGTTGTCGGGCTCTCTAAGCAAACACCACAGAGAAGCCAGGTACTCCTGGAGCCCTTGCCTGCCTGGAGCCTGCTCTGTCCGTCTCTGAGGGGCATCGTGAAGCCAGCGTTCTGTGCCATGTTGCAGGAGAGGAGAGCACAAACACAACATCTCATTGACTGGACATCTTGGAGATGCACGTTCAGGCAGAGAAGGGCCCTTGCTGCTCATGAGCTGTAGTCCCCCGCCCCCCCACCCCCCAACAAAAGGTGGGCTGAGTATAGACGAGACCAGCCAACGAGAGAAGTCGTCAATGGAGAGACACACAAGTCTCTGGAACCCAACACAGGACAGTGATGGAACACATGAAGGAAACACAGGATGTTTCCAGAAGAGCCAACATTCACCATGTAGGATCCAGAAAGAGAAGCCAGGGACTAGACCAGAGGATGCACACTGGTACAGATAGGAACTGGAAACAGGGAATCTGGGACAGAAAAACCCCTGAGGACCAATAATGAGAGTAGCGATGCCAGGAACAGAAAAGTGGGTGAAGGTAGATGTCGGACAGTGTAAGACATGACAAGATAATAATTTATAAATTATCAAGGGTTCGTTAGGGAGTGGGGAGTGTGGAGGGAGGGGGAAAATGTGGAGCTGATACCAAGGGTTCAAGTAGAAAGCAAATGTTTTGAGAATGATGATGGCAACAAATGTACAAATATGCTTGACACAATGGATGGATGGATGGATCGTGATAAGAGTTGTACAAGCCCCCAATAAAATGGTTAAAAAAGAGAGAGATGCCAGGGAAAGGGAGAAATAAAAGTCCCCAGAGTTAGGGGAACCATGGGTCCTTAGATTTGAAATTCTGAGCAACTATGTGTCTGATACATGGAAAACCATGTCTGTCTAAACACCCTGGTAAGAGTTCTGACAGCAAAGACAAAGTCCTAAAAGTGTCCCAAGAGATTTGCAGCCCGGGTGCCATCGTGGGTACATGTTGGGCTGCTCACTGCAGGGTCAGCAGTTTGAAACCACCAGGCCCTCAGAGGGAGAAAGAGGAGGCTCTCTGCTCCCCTAAAGAGGTGTCGTCTCTGAAACCCACAGGGGCCCTTCTGCTCTGTCCTGTAGGGCCACGATGTGTCGGAATCCACTTGATGGACGTGGGTTTCCAACTCTGTCGCTGTCCGTCCTCAAGGCAATGGAGCGGAATCTTCAGCACCCAGGGAATGGCATGACCCGTGAGGTGGAATCCACTTGCTGGGCTGTCAGGAGAGTGGAAGCATTTCGAATGGACAGCTGCACTGAAAGTTTGCCCCCATAACTGATCAATGAGAACAGCACAGCACGCACCGGCCAGCACCAGGAAAGGCAACTCCAAAGGGTGGGGGTGGTGAAACGTAAGTAACGGTGCGGGAAAATCAGCCCCAAGCAGTTGAAGGTTCTTCACTTTTTTAGGGAAAGAAAACACATGTGCTCGACTTGACCAAAGACGAGATGTAGGTGGAATGGCATCACGGATAGCGTACGTGAAGAAAGAGAAAGGTCACGCAGAAGGCAGGACAGAAGGACAGACCACAGTGCATGGCAGAAGGGACTGAAGCGTGCTCTGGGAGGTGGAGCACTAACCAAGGTAAATGGGAGGGGCTGGGACGTGCAGGCGCGGAACAGAGTGTTTCAAAAGGCAGCTTGAGAAGACTAAGTATCTTCACGAGCCAGGCAAAGACCTGGGGTTAGAACATAAACAAGTGAAGAATACGTTCAGCATATCTCAAACTGAACGAACTTAGGAGAAAAAGAAAAAATCATTCCAGCCTTGGGCGACAATTTTGAAGGACTCAGTGGGCAAAATACCAAATGATACAAGAAGTGTCAAAAGAAGACAAAGGAATACACGGTCACTGAATATATATAAAGACTTGGTCGACATTCGCTCATTTCAAGAGGTAGCATATGATCTAGAAATGATGGTATTGAAGAAATCCAAGTCGCATAAAGGCATTCGCACAAAACAAGGCTCCAGAAATTAATGTAACATTAATTAATATGCTTTTTAAAATATTTTTTAATTAGAGGGAGAGTGGGTTGGAAAAATGAGGACCTAATGCCGGGGACTTAAGTGGAGAGCAAATGTTTTGAGAATGATGAGGGCAATGAATGTACAAATGTGCTTTACACAATTGATGTGTATGGATTATGATAAGATTTGTATTAGCCCTTAACAAAACGATTTAAAAAAAAGAAAAATTATATTTTTTAATTAATGAAGCAATGGAAACACTCACTAGTGTAGGCCAAGAAATTTAGAAGACAGCGACCAGGCCAACCAACTTGAGGAGCTCTGGATCTATGTTCATTCCAAGAAAGGTGCCCCAGCAGACTGTGGAAGTTATCACTCAATATCATTAACGTCACGTGTAAGTAAAAATTTTGCCGAAGAAAATTTAAGAACAAATGCAGCAGTACTTCAACAGGAAGCAACCAGAAATTCAAGCTGGATTCAGAAGATGTGGCATGAGAGATGTCAATGCTGACACCAGATGGATCTTTGCTGAAAGCAGAGATTAACGGAAAGATGTTTGCCTGTACTTTATTGACTATGCAAAGGCATTTGACTGTGGATCATACAAACTATGGATAGCATTGGGAAGAACAGTGTGGTAGTTACATAATTTCATGTCAAGTTAATAAATAGGTCTAGGGGTGGAGTCTAGTCTGTCAATCAGGTCACAACCTGATGATGCCTCCTTGTGGGCGTGGCCTTGTCATGAGGATTCTGGGAACTTCCTCTCTTTCTCCCTTGACTCTCGCTCAGCTTAATCTTCCTGTTGGCAAGTCAGGTGGAGCCACGCTGAGACCTAAGTAAACCATGTGGCAGAGGCTCACACCAACCCCATGATGCTTCCACTGATATTCAATCCACAAAACTTTTCTCCCACCGGCCTGTGATCTTCCTGTATTCGCCATCATTGCGTGTTCTGCGTGAGTCTGAAGAGGAATTTATGGACTAGGATCAGACATATAGGCTAATATAGGACTTACGGACTTGATCCGGACTAGGCTGGGATGTTTTCTCAATGCACAATTGCTCTTTGATATAAAGCTCTCTTGCACACGAGTGTCTCTGGATTTGTTTCTCTCGTCAACCCGGCCTAACACAAATAGGAATTCCAGAGCACTTAATTTTGCTCATGTGGAACCTGTACAAGAACCAAGAGGCAATCTGACACAGCTTAAAATCAGGAAAGGTGTGCACCAGACTTGTGTCCTTTCACCACACTGTTCCCTCTATGCTGAGCAAATCACCTGAGAAATCGGGCCTATGTGAACAAGAGCGTGGCATCAGGATGGGAGGAAGGTTCATTAACTTGTAATACACATATGACACAACCTTGTTTGCTGGAAGGGAAGAGGATTTGAAGCACTTACTGATGAAGATCAAGGATCGAAGCCTTCAG